GTCAGGTCTGTACACAGCATGGTACTCTAATGCTGTTACATAATTCACAGAATAACGTCAAGGAATAGATACTGGGTGGCTTCAGGCTAAACTACTACTCGCATAATAAAGGCAGCTTCAATATTTACTGCACATTATCTGAATTCACTGGAGAGGTTATCTTACTAGAAAGGAATGTTAAAGACTTTTCACATCATTCGGCTTTTGCTTTTCGATCAAAAGCCTTGCAGCCTTTGTCCAGGAATTACTGCGGATTAAGAATCTGGAACGCCTTCCTGCTTGATGAGTCACCCTCTGTCTCGATGGAGATGTAATTATGAAAGTGACAGGGAAAGACTTACTCAACGCCTGCCTTCACTAACAGCCTTGCAAATGCCAACGCACCACATTCACAACTGCCCTGGTTGAGTCGTTTGTTGGCCGACAGTTAAACACTTGTGGCACCAGCTATCAGTGCGAAGAGATGTGATGTGGACAGACATGATGTGTGTTACTGCTCACTCTTGGAAAAAGGTTTTATGGACGGATAAAGATTCTATCTTTGAATTTTTGGGGATCTCACGACTTAGTTTGGATTCTTGATGTCACAATTTGATTCTGAATCAATTCCCGATTCGACAAATAGAGAAGGGGGCTTTATTTTTAGGCTCTTAAGCATGAAACAATTCACCCATTTATTTAGTCTGGTGAATTGCAGTATAAAACATAACTGACAGTTAAGATAATTGGTCTTGATCAAGGTCACTATCTGATGAACAGAACAATATAGGGAGTGTGGGAGTTCACAGCTTTGTTTTGGCTGCAATAATTTAGAAACAAGTTACAGTCTCCAGTCTGTGTGGGAATACTGATTACAACCACTGGCTAAATATTGTTATAAGACATAAACTAGTTTATCTGTTTTGGAGTACGTTTTGCTGCAAGGCTAGTACCATGGGATCAAACTGCCATCCACAAAGCTGCAGAACTACAGGTCTTTTGAAAGTAAACAAGTTTTTAAACCTATCAGAGTCGGCTGGAAATTGTGTAAAGTTGGGATGTGTGAGTTCATTGCTCTCTGAATGATGGTGTACAAAGTATTAACAAACTACATCTTGAAAAGCAAATTACTAGGTTATTAAATCATAATGCACCCATTTCATTAACGATGTTCAACAACGGATTTTTGGAATCTGTAAACTTATTTGAAATTACTGATGACAATGACTGTGATTCTGACTGCGACTAAGCTACTATAGTCAGACGACATTCCCCACTTAAAATGATCACATCCTCTAACGTATAATGATCAGGTGAAAGGCTCTTTGTCAACAGTTATGAAAAAGCAAAAGACAGTTCAAGCAGCGAAGTTCAAAATTCAAGTTCTCATTGAAGAACAACTTAAATTCAGCTACCTACCTTTATGGAAAAATTATTTCAACATTCATTACATCTGGCTTCCATGTGGCTCTGAGCAAGGACTGACAGCACACACACACACACACTTACACAGAGACATTTCAAACCGCCTGCACTGCCAGACGTGTTAGAACAGAGTCAGCAGTCGCTCCCTTCCCTCCCCGCCCAGCATTCAGGCTTGGACTGTGCATGAGTAACCCCACAAAACTAGCAATCGCAGTTCAACACACTGCCGAAACATCAACCTGACCATTACATATTCTCAAAATAGAGCAAGCAGCACCAAAGGAGAGGGTTAAAAAATGAGCTGCAATTATGACAAACCCCAACCAAACCCTGTTGTTTTGTTTCAACCGAAGATCTTCTGTTTTGACAGAATGAAAGGTGATCTGATCTGTTTCCTGTCTGCTTTTGTAACAGGGATTGCCTCCTCTATTGTTGACACTGTCACACCTGAGGAGAGTCACGAGATTGAAAGGTGCAGCGTATGTTTACTCAGGAAAAAACTGTGCAGTTGTTTATCTGCGGCATTTTATGAAATAGAAAAAAATCGGTAAACATTTTAAACTTAGCAGATACAGCTGTATGAATTCAAATTTGCAGTCACTTGGTAGATAATGTAAGTCCATAACTTGATCTTTGTTCAGCCTACACCAAAACCAAATAAAATTTAATCCTAGAATCACAGTTGTAATTTTAGGTTATAAATGTGTAAACTTTTGTACCAGGAGATCTGTAGTGAGGAGAGGGTAAGATAAGTCAATAATATCTTCAGGGGGTGCTGGCAGGTTTAATCTCTCGTCCACTTCCTTGAAAGGACTCTAGCTTCACTAAGGAGGACAAGTAAGCAGAGGAAAAAACACAATCCAAGGAAAAGGGAGAACGAGACACAAATGCAGGAAGAACCAACCCCATTTTCTTCTCCCCCCTTTGGTGCACTTGACACAGGGATACAAGAAGTCGTGCAACATGCCTGTGGTTAGAGAAAAGGCATGCAACACTCATGTTGGTGGTTTTCATGTTTTCACGTAAAATCATGGTTTTTCTTCTTCTGCAGAGCAATTGTGGGCCTCTCAGGGCCATAAATCAAGTGAAACAACTGATTATTTTTCAATAATATATGGTCACATCACTGACTGTTTAAAATGGACTTTCCTGAGATACAAGATTTGCATCCAAGAGCAGGTACATGGGCTAGATAGCATACATTGATAGCAGCTGAGAGCAGGGCACCTGTATAACTTACAAGAAGGACATTTAACTGCATACACACCCACACACGGTAAACAGAGAGGAGATAACTCATGTAATAAGATGGTAAGAGATAATGTTTCTCCTTCTTTATGGCAATAACAGTAATCTTATCCTTTCTCATGGACCTGTAGCACCCACATTGTCTTGAGACTCAAAATATGGTTCCTCTTACACCTTATCTTCAAGCAACAAGGACAGAGGGAGATTGGGTGATAAATTCAGGAGAGGGCATTTATAAACAAGTTTTTGAAATGGTATAAAAATCCCCTTCCGAGCATGAGAATTTGCATTGTGAGGAGACGATTATGTAAAATGCATATAACAGGTTATCTCCAGTTACCAATGTTTAGCACAACAGACACTTTCTTCTTCAGCTCAGATACTGTGTCCAACAGTTTTTGTATTCATGGCAGAGTTGTAGCATCACAGAAAGTCAGCCCGAGGCTAAGGATTCAGTTGAGCTTTTGATGCTGCGTTTAATAGGAGGAAATCACTGATAAATTCAGGAAAACAACAGATCCCGCAAAGTGTGTATGTGGCAAACAATGTCATATGTGATGTGTGGTTTCCACATGACAGCACAGTAAAATGAAGGTAAAACCTCCAGGATCAGATAGCAACACATATCTGCTACTCACAGAAAGTGATAGTGAAGTTATGAGGGGGATTGCCTTGTGCAATTTTGGGCCATCCCATCACACATTCCTACACAAATTCAAATGAATGAGTCACCGACACACACACACCAACCACCTTTGTTCCCACATTTCCTTTTTGTTTCCTACTCAAGCAGCGCTCTTCCTGTCCAGCCAGCACCTGCACCATCGCTCTCTTTCATTCACTTTGCTCTGTTGCACCACTGAGCCAAGACAGTGTGACGATCACAAAAACACAAGTTGTTTTTCTTCCATTTTCCCCCACAGCTGGAGCAGAGACCTGGACTGCATGCCATATACTGTGTGCTGGCCCGGGGAATAAGCCACACAAGGTAACTGATTAGCCTACCATGTGTACTGGATGAGTTTCAAGTATTAACAGAACTTACGGGGGATCCCCTGACCGACTACGCTGATGTCTACAGAGCAGGCCAATAGTCTTGATTTCATTTGTAAATTGCCAGTTTAAGAAATGCTGTAAACACCATTGTGCAATGTCTGTGAATTGTGAAACAATGTTTATGACATTACATTAATGACATAGATGTCATTATGACTGAGCAAAGCACATATGACTAACAGATAAGTTAAAACAACCTCTCAGTTGAAGTGCCCTTGAGCAAAAATATCAAGCCCATATTAGCTCCAGGGAGCTCACCTTCTGACTCTGACCTCTGTGGATGTGGGGCAGGGATAAAGATCATTTTACTCTAGAGTTTCAACAATTTTACTCTAGAGTAATTTTACTCTAGAGTAAAATTATTGAGACAATGCACAGCTAGATTGGTGGACCTAAACAATGTTCACAGCCTAAAGTACACTCAAAACTTTGCATAAATCGTGAGGATTCCCATTCCCTGTTTGTTCCTGATTGCCCTCTGGTCTAATATTAAACAGAGGTGAAATTGTTGGCATTCCTGAGTGCTTAGAAAAACAACTTTGCAGTTTGTTCAAAAGAAAATAAAAGAGGATTGATTAGCACGGCTTCCACATAATTTGTGTCATTCAAGTTCTGACATCTATATTACTTTGCAGTACTGATGAAGGTGACGTCGCTGGATGTCTGGGGCAGTACTGGCATGGTAATAGCACAACAATAACAATGGAGGAATTTGGCTAGGTTTTCCAAAGAATTTTGTCCTTTACCATTTCAATGCACTGGATAAAAACACAAACTTTACCACATCTTCGCTTTGCCTGAGGGTTCCACGTTGGGTAACGTTTGTACGGAGAAGGGTACTACGTGATGAAGTTAGTACACGGCATGAAAAAAAAGTGAGCAAATATTTAAAGTTATGATTCCCCGTCCTACTTTACCCACTGAAGAAGTCTGCGTCATTACAAGAAAAATCCTTGAACTAACAGAAAGCGGTTCGACTTGGATACTCATATTTTTATGGCATCATTCCCTGTAAAATGTCATGGCAGCATCACCGCTGGCGAAGCAAGAGCCAAGACAACTTAGCTCTGTAATGGGTTTAAACTGTTTAAAAAATACTCAGTTTAACTATTCAATATATTAAATTAACATTAACAAACTTTGTTTGCATAAAATTATAGAATTCGATTTGGCGAAATGACGTCACAGTAGTGGTAACCGTTAAAATTTCCAGTGGTCAGGAATTAAAAAAAAAAAAAAAAAAAAAGGGGGTAAAGATACTGAAAGCATCTAGCCACCATGGCAAAACTCACCGTTTAATGAGAAAACAAGTTATTCCTTACAAGAGCGATAATCCAAACGGGTTAGTTTGCGTTCTTTAAGGGATAGAGAGAAAGAAATCCACAGTTTGGAAAGACTTCAAGAAGTTTCAGAGAACAGTCGTTGTCCAGCCGCCTTCGACGAGAGCCACATTCTGTCCCCGCTGGAACTGTAACAAGTAGATAGGAATACATGTGCGGTGGGTGGAAGCGTGAACGCAGGGAAATGAGATGAAGATGAGGATTTCATACTTGTTTGAATCAACAATGTATTGTCAGGCAGTCATAATCACAATTTAACTATGAATTATTAATGTGGTCGAAAATACACTTCATCGTATTAGTGTCTGTTTATGGCCGATAATGCCGTGGTGCTCGCAGCGAACCCCCCTAATGGAACCCACACATGGTATCGCCCACGGCTGCCTTTCATTCCATTCCTCCCGACTGAGGTGGAGTGGAACTCTGCCGCATTCATTTTAGAAGTCGCGGCGGGGGGAAATAGTAACGGCGTCGCCCGTATGTACTAAAAGCGCGCTCAGAAAAAGTTTTGTGATGTAGGGCAGTTTATTTTTGCGCCCGAATCACTAACACTCTGCAGCTGGCTTTCTTTTATATGCCTTTTCTTTCTAACCCTGTAATAAATCTTTTCACGAGGATAAAGGAAGGATACCAAGACCCAGTTATGAAATACACAATTATATGATATGATTTATATAACATCATCATAACACAACCTACCATAGGGTGAGTTTGAATTTAATGAATTTAACAGTCCAATGAATATAATAGCAGAGTAAGTGAGTTTTGTAGGGAAAGTTAATTAAATCAAATTAGTCAAACTGCCTTTCAATCAAGTTCAGTTAAATTAAATCATACTAAATAGTGTCAATTAAGAGGAGAAATTGACAGTAATATTCACATTATCTTTAGTAAGTGGTTTACTTGTAGTGTATTTCAAAGTCAAGAATCGTTGATGGCCTAAAATAAACAAGCAATAAAGACAGATGTCTTTTTGCAGAGTCATATTTTTGTGTTTCTAACCTATAAAACCTAAGCCAACAAGTAGGAATATGGGAAGCCAAGAGGATGCTTTGAGAAGGAAGCACCATCAACCTTACATAACTAGAGAAAAATGTAAGGCTCTGAGAGGGCACCAGCTGTGCATTGTGCATGCTAATAAATGTCTGCATGCTTCATCTCCATGTTTATTATGATAAATTGTATACTGGATCCTCATGCTTCTCCTAAAGCCTCGTCCTCCCCCGTCATGATGTCAGCCACTGGTTTAAAAGTGGGGAGAGCCCCTCTTAGCTGACATGGTGACCTGTAATTAGTGCTCAGGGGCCCACACTCTACTCTGACTGCTTGTCAGAGAGAGAAATGGAGTGCCAAACATGAAAAGGGGCGCAGAAGTGTGTCTGGTCAAGCCAGGCTAAACCCCCTCTGGCCCAGATTGCACACGGCTTTGAAGTGACATCAGAAGGAGACCCGTGAACAACAAAGCTACGTAGAGACTATTATCTTCAACAACAAAAAAACAAAACTGCAGACCACAAATACTTAATCCCTGGATCCGACACTGAACTGATCAGGTTACTGTAACGTTTGAAGCTGCAAAAAGAATCAAAATATAACTTCATTTAGTGGTTGATTGGGATTGGCATACTGTATTATGTGTGATGCCAACAATAAAACCCAAACATTACCATTTACCACCAACTGATTTATGCAAACCATTTCACTCATAATTGTGTTTATCCAAGCAGTTTTCTCTGCCCAACAGTTTCTTGTGCCCGGCACTCATATATAGACTCTTTGTTGTCTAAAACACAAACAAAAACATAATCCAAAACCACTGTAACAAAAGCCACTCCAAATGTGACACACCTTACATGTTCTGTTTTTTTATACACCCCCTCCTCCTCCCACCTCCCTCTCAGACCACAGAGTGCTTCCAGTCTTTGTCTGCATCATTCCTGCCTTGATTTGATTAGTTTTCTCTGGCCGAGCAGGAGGTACAACTGGGAGCAGGTTGGGCTTTTTGTTGAGGCAGTATCTGACTAATTGAGATAACTCCCTCTGCGATTCTGTCTCCCCAGGGGAAGATGAGTAGCCGCCCACCAGACTTCAGTCATCGTGAAGAGTCCTTGCCATCAGCCCTTCCCTTGGTTTAATGTGACACAGGCAGCTACTCTCCAACCCCCCAAGCAAGGGAACACCAACAAATCATGACATTTTTGCACAAACCTTTTTTTGTTTTACTACACTAACACTGAATGATAAAGTGCAGTAAAGACTAAACCTACAGACAGTTTGAAACAACCTGAGAGAAAATATTGGAGTAAATATGAAGCACCAGAAGTGACACAAAAAAAATAGCAAGACTTTAGTGGCTCAATATAATTGTTTCAGAAATACTTCAAAACTAAAACTATATGGCCAAATATATGTGGACATTACAAATTACACTCATATGTCATATAGGTCAGGGCTTTGTGCAGGGCAGTGAACCTCTCTGTGAACATGCTGTGTGCATGGAGACCGTCATGGAAGCTGTTGTGGTGTCATTAGAAGCCATGCATTCCCCAGATTTACGGGAAACTTTATTTTGTTGGCAAACTAGACCATTCTTCATATTTGACCTGAACCTGATGACCCTTTTATTATTCCTTTCCCTTTCCTTTGAACAAATGCTTGTGGAACAGCTAAACGTTCAAATCTGACAAGAAGCATGTGTTTTTCAAACTCCTTGGAGCTTGGACATGAAATCTAAGAAGCCATGCATTCAATCAAAGCGAAACAGATGTTTTCTAATTGTGCTGATTTGGTGCTCCGTTATGTAAGGAAACATACCAATCTTACTGAACAATGTCAGGTCAGGAGAGGTGGAAGCCTTCCTGCTCTGAGCGCCAGATTACTAACAGTGTGATGTCATGTTTATTTTATGTAGTTTTTTTTCTTTTGAATGAGTTTGGATGTAGATCTATTCTGAGGCAATAAGGCAGATGGCTGGTCAGTTGCATGGGATTCTTGATTCAATATTTTAAGCCCTCAGGGAAATATCCGGGAAAGATAAATTAGAAAGTGTTAGGATGAAAGGGAGGCTACAAGGTGCACTCTAGAGTGCAGTAATTCTATTGGAGTGCAATATTGAAACAGATCACTGAAAGTTTTAAGAATGAACTTCCTCATCTTGTAATATTGGAAGGAAAGTGCAGCCGTAATTCTGAAGCCGTGGTGCGTTATAAAGTTAGTTGAGGAGCAGCACTGTAGAAACATGCTGCGATCCCTGCAGGCAGACAGACAGACAGAAGAGAGTATTGATCTAAGTTACTGTGCCAGAGCCCTTTTTAGACTGTCTGAGAATCTATTAATTTCTCCATGGCACCAGCAATGGCATTGTAAGCAGAAATAATGGCTCAGAGATTATACAGACTGCTATATTGTCTAATTATTATACACACAAAACTGTTGTGGTGCAGCTTTTGATAGCAAATGCCAGCAATTCCCTACAAATTTTCCCCAATTCCCTCTGGATTTGAACATTGTTTGTTCACATTGTTAATGAAAGGACAGCACTTGTTTTTTTTTTTTCATTGTTTAACTGAGACAATCGCTGCTGTATTTTGCTGACACAAAAGGGCCAAGCATTTGCCGCTGAAACATTCAAGTCATACTCACATCTGCATAGTCACCAGCTCGTTTCTCAATGCACTTTTCACTGGAGGCCGAACGGTGCAGCACAACAAGACCGAGAATGAGAGAGGAAAATATAAAGAATGAAAGAAAGTGACAGAGTCATGGGGGGGGTGAAGAAGTGTTAGTCACCAGATGGTACAGCGAAAAGAATACACAATGGTAACCCTACACTAGTTCCTTTCAATGTGCTTATGTAAGCCTATACCCCAAGACTATATGGTGCTCAGATGCAGAATGCTGGCATCACTGGCCTGGCATATTGTCTGAAAAATAATTCCTTTGACACAGTCCAAGAATATGTAGTATTTCATATATAGATACAATGATACAGTGCACTGGCACACATCTGGCATTGGAGGATAAAGGGTTTAAGGAATATTTGTTCTAATTCAATACTTTTTTTATTGCTGATAATTGGCAGACTATGGTATTGTTGTATGTTTCATCTTTTATAACACAACACTAGGTTGAAACCTAGTATTTGGCTGGACTGCGTATGCATATGGTGAATGTGTGAAATTGTAACGCAACGTCCAGTGGTGAAACTCAAATTCAGTCACGTAACAACTGGCTGACCAATGGTGGAATTATGATCACTTAGTCAGTCACGGACATCTGTGATTTTAGGCCTGGTCCCGCTGTTGTGGTCAAGCCAAAAACAAAAGATAGCTCTGGTTGAGCTACAAAATAAAATAAAATAAAGGACTGGAATCCCATCACTTTGCTAGCCCCTGTTGTGTGTACGTCTATGTGTACACAGTGAGTTCTCTCGATGAAGGTTTCATTCATTTCATTGGTCTTTTTAAAATGCTGAAGTATAATATTGGGGCGTTCTGTCCATATTCTGAGTTTAAAGAGCATCTGCTACTGGGTATTACAGCCAGCATCCAACCCACTGATACAGCAGAGGTACAGAGGTTAGCTATGAGAAAAAGGAGTAGGCCATTATTGTATCTCTCTGGTGCTTCAATACCATATTGATGTATACCTGTTTTTAACACACCTCTGTTTTATTTGAATCATTCAAGTGTCTCACTATTTCCTACCTCATCATCTGAATGCTTCATTTCACTGTGCAGTGTTCTTTGGAAATATGAGCCAGGACACTGTGTGTGTGTGTCTGTGGGAGCAGAGGGATGTTGTTTTGTTTTTATGTGACATCCACATGGCTACTGTAGCAACATGGGGTGGTGCTCGTAGCTGCGAGTCAATACGGGACAGATCTAAGCACCAGCTGTCATACCTGGCCTTGTCCCTATCTATTCACACAGTCACCTGGCACTTCGTCAGCTCTTCTGTTCTCCCAGCAGACACTGCGTTCCCTGTTTAGTTGGGTCCATTTAGAGGAAAATCAGAACTATAACATAATCTTCATTTAGGGAAAACAATAACCACTTGTGGTGATGTCCTCAGTAATAACAGTTGTTGTGTTGTGCTTTATTT